GACGATACACGTGGATGCCACGAGACGTGTGAGTGATCAAGATGTCGCATTCACATCATGAAGAATAAAAGGCACTTCCGAAATACGTGGAGTTGAACACGATATTAGATTGCGACATTTGTACATTCGTGACTGTACATATGTCTAGCCTTAGTATGCGGTATGCACTATGGCTGTGCGGTACGGTAATACAAATAGGGGTTGTTCCCGCGTGCGACGCCTGTACGGCGTAGCTTCACGCATCGCTTACTCATTGCTGAACATCCAGTCGTAGTTGGTGCCGCGCTCTTGGGACACGCGAAATTTACTTTAGCCGCGAGCATGACTTTAAAGCGGTGTTTCGAGGACACCGTCTACCGCCGGCAAATAATCCGTTTCAATCCGTGTCACAGAGTCAACGACGTCCTAGGTGCCTGCATACTCGTGCAGGGGAAGGGGTGCACACACGCGAGTGGCAGTGCACTTCGATGGCGTTTAATGCCAATGTCACGCCACGGAATGCGCAAAGTTTCAAGCCTGTTTCGAATGCAATTTATTGTCATGTACAGCCACGAATTGCACGGTGGTCTATTTTAGCAAGTCTGAAAGCAGTTCCGTTGAAAGGACAGCCGGAGCGTTGTGCGTGACGATATTAATAAATTTCACCGGATTTAGAATTCTTTTTATTTGTATAACAGACAACGTTACGCTGACACAGATAATAACAATCGCTAATAGTAATTGATTGTTATTGTTATTATTTATATACATTATTTTTTTTTTCATACGGATACATATGGGCGCATTACATTTTGTCATTTAGCAACAGGACTGATCGCGCAGTTTTTTTACCGAGTTTTAAACATGACTGTTAGAGTGCGTTACACGAAGATACAACACGATAACATAATGCTCCGCGCAGCGGAATTGCTTTAAAAAAAACTGGGTCATATGCTACACGTTTATTCATATTCTCCTGCATAAATACGTCTCGCATATGAGAAAGCATACAAAATTTGTTTTTTATATGAGAAACGTTTCATCTTGTTTGCGGATATGCATAGATATCATTTTACCTGTGAAAAAATGCAATTCGGCAATTGCGCGGCTTGAAATGTGTTCTATACATCGTGTGTTTTATCAACGTAAACACAACGTAAACATGCTGCTGATTATTCGAATATTGCCGCACGTTAATGGAAAAATTGGGGAAAATCAGTAAAATCGTAACGGTCAAAAATTTTCAAAAAATATATCACTAACTTTATTATTACATGGTTTTAATTTTTAATTTCTCAATTTTTATCATATAGATAAAATCAGTTATCATAGATAAAACAAATACGAAATTCAAAGTAAATATTTTCGTATTTGTTTTATGAGTTCGATTTCAGATTAATTAAGATCAACGATTGTTTTATTTTGCCATTAATAGTAGGAAATGACATTGGCAACCAATTTCGGCATTTAAACAGCTTTTCTAGCTACAACGGGACGTGATAGTTTGTTACTGGCGTGTCATTTAATTATTTTCTCTAAGTGTTACACGCAGACATAGAGTAAATTTGTGCACGTGCCAGTTTGGTTTAGGCAAAATAATTTTGGCCATCTGTTGCACCTATTGATTTGTAATGTCTGCCGATCATTACTGAGGAGCACGCAGAATGTATTGCTTTGTAAATAAAATTCAACATCGGCAAGTTGCGGTGACAGTGTTTCGCCAACGTTAACTGCAATCAATAATTATAATATAGCGAAATTCGTTGAATTTGCGACATATATCGACTGAATTGTCATTCTACTCGCGCATAATTGCGTCGCGCACTTTTGTTTTCGCCAAAACAACAATTAACAAGAAACGTCCGCAAGAGTTCACGATTGTGTAAATAACTACGTGAACAAATACTGCTCGACCGTGACTAGTGCACTCTACCAGTCTGACAAACATGATCCCTAACTACTGCGATAACTGACGTAGTTCATTTCGTTTGAGCGTAAATATCCAGGTATTGTACTTGCCAATATAATATACGAACACGTATCTCGTTCTATTCCCCAATTATTAATATCACCTCTTAATATAAGATAATTACTATTTTCATTATACAGAAGTCATCATTGTATAATGAACGAATTATTGCTATTTATATTAATAGCATTATCCTATATGTCATTAAATTAATAGATTAAATTAAACTAAAAATTAAAATTATTAATAAATATTATTAGTATAAATTAAATTATTTCTTAGTATTATTGTATAATTTTAAGCGTTTACGCAAATTATCAATCAAATTGACCGTTATAAAAAATGTTTAAATAACTATATAAATTTAGATCTTAAAAACATTAATTTAAGCCATTATACATATTACCACGCGATTTTATCTAAGTACAAATCATAAAAACCACATATAATATTCATTATATTTA